AACGAAACGTACGTGGAAGTGCCCACACACCCCAAATATGAACTACAAACTCAAATATCCCAAGTCTTCCAACAGTCTTAGCCACTCGCTGCCTTGCAGTGCAACTTAGCGTGAAATTCTATTCAATTTTCTGCGCGCAACTTTTCAGTCGCCCCAGAAGACACTGAACGTGGTTGTGTGTACTAGTTGGGAACAGTGTTCAACAAATTTCTTTTAAGTTTCCAGTTTTGAGGAGTTATGGAGGAAAAACCACAATACTAACTGAACCAGCATTTGGTTTCTTCTTACAATTTTCAAACAAAGGCACAAAAGTAATTTATTTAGAAATTGATAAAATGTTAAAAATATAATAAATAGTCGGCATCTGAATACTTCCGGGAAAATCTGTAGATGGGATTCACTTTAACTAAGTATTGAATAGATATATTCAAAAAACGAAGTAGCATTGTAGCATTGTTATTGACTTGGATGAGACTCAGCAGTGACCTGTAGAAACCAAATAAGATTTTTGATAGGAACCGACTTGATTTTATTGAATGTTTATTTAAATAAAATTTAGTTCTTTTCCAAATAATAGCATATGAATTAAAAAAAACAAAAACAATTAATCGGTTCTAATAGTTAGTAAGTAATTATTTCTAATGATATATATAGCTGTGGTTATTAATTGTACTGTGGTTAATTGTAGTTTATGAAGGTGATATTTCAGACCATAATGATCTGTAATGAAACCCTTTAACAACCTTAAATTACATTTTAAGTATTGAAGGATGTCTTTATAGGAGTACGGTATTATCAGTTTTTGCTTTAAGTCCTGGGAAGTCTTCCCAGTACTCCAGCCGCATATGATTTACCCTTTGCTTGATCATTTGTCTTATACTGGCCCAGTTTATCCCAAAAACGGGTTGAGGGCCTGTAGAAACAGTTTTTGATGCAGTTCTGGCTAGCTCATCAGCTTATTTATTTCCCAAAATTCTCCTGTGATCCGGAACCCAGTGAAGGCTTACCTTATTCCGAGTTGCAAGTAGCTGTAGGAGCTAGCTGTGGTTAATGCGTTTGTTATAACTTTTACGTATTAAGTACATTTGTTACTTAAGAAATAAAATCAAATCTATTAAATTTCTGATTGGAACAACGCAAAACAATTATTTTTTCCAAAGACCGCTAATGATCTCTTATCAATAATATTATCTCATCGTATGTACGATCTACGACTATTCACGAAATCTTACTTCACTTCACTAGAATTTTTTCGCTTGCCAGAAATAAGAGTTCCAAATGCGTACATCTACGTATCATAGTTATCGTTATTTAGATGAACATCCTAGAAAATCTGTGGGAAGATTATTTTTGTGCTTACAATCTGAAATTTGCGGAGTTTGTTTTGACGCTTTAAATCTCGGTAAATTTGTCATCTGCAGAAAAACCTACAAAAACGTTCAAAATTTAGATCTAATTAATTTAAATACACGAATATAGAATCGAATATAGAATATACATGTACATTACTTTCTCTTTATATAGAAAATAATGTTCTAAATTTTAGTTGTATGATGAAACAATATTTTATTATTACTAAAAGTAAACAAATTTTAAATTACAAATTCCCGATACTTGTTGAATGCAGCATATGGTATAATGGTATAATGTAAATGATGATGTTTAGTAGGAATTGCTGTGAAGATATTAGTGTATTTTTATTTTTTTTTTTGATTTTTCATTTATGATATTTATTAGTTTATAATATAACAGAAATACTGAATGCAATAAAAACAAATCACCGGAAGAAAACGATAGTCAATTTTGGATAGTTGAAGAGAAAGTAAACTGAGTTCTTCTGTATAATAGGTGTTTTGACTTCCAAAAATCGACTCGTTTAAGACATCTCATTCCCTTTAATTCAATTACATTAAATTTCTCAATTAAAGTTTTATCAACTTTCTTTAAAGTTCCTTTTTGAGGTAAGAGTACTGGCAGAACGCAGTTCAAGAAGAGCTGAATGAATCACTAATCTGCCATGACCATCTCATCAAATGACAATCTCGTTAAAATAAATGAAACGCTCGATATCAAATCTATTATAAGTCCTATTGAGAAATTAAGGAAAGAATTAAAGAAAAGGACTCATTGATATCTCCTTAAACAAAATACCGAAAGCATTGTGAGGTGCTCATATTTCAAAGATTTGTAACAGTTGCGCAGCTCACAATACTTCCGGACGATAACTAAACATTCATTCGACACCGCCAATGTTTATGTTTGCCGAGCAAATTTGCTAAATTCGTTAAATTTGTCAAAATTGTTCTATTTTTCAATTTTTCTATTTTTCAATTATGAAGGAAAACATATCCTCGACACATTCGACGTTGTAACCTGAAGCTCTTCAGCACACATTTTTATCCTTGATGATGAGGTGACAAGGGTGCTATTTTGCTATTCAAATGCAATTTAAGCCATAATTTGGGTGTCACATATTTAATGTGCGTGTATATCCCAAACATATAAACACAGTATCACATGAAAGTGCTAATCGGGCTATTGTTTGGGAAAACAATATGCCCAATACGTTGGTTGCTTGGCTTGATGTAGTGCATTGGTTGCTCCGTGACGAGACGCCCCTTTTTAGCTGACATGTCACATGGGCGACGCAGTGTAATAAGGATGTGCTCACTTGCCTCATACAGGCACACACTACGCGATACTGTTATTAATTTGTTGGGATTTTGGCTTCTACATTTACACATTATATGAAATTTGGTTCACTGCAAGCCCGTTAGTGCTGTACTGCAGCACGATATTGTCATGAACGCAGCTTTCAGGAGAGCAGAGAGAGAGAAACACATTGACAAAATTTGTCGAAATGCCTGTCGAATCTACTAAGCGAAATGAAGAATTGTGCAATGAAAATACTGACACAAGGAAAGATAATGGGGTGACAGAGAAGTCTACTTTTCGATACCCCGCAGCAATTCCGAATGTTGTATTGTCAGCGGCAAAAAGGAGATTTGAACATTCCAGCTGTGAGTTTTATTTGATTTTGAATAAAACTTTTTGTTATGCGATAAGAAAAAGGGTTTTCCAACTGAGAACTGAGTTACTGTGGTAATTATTTTAATTAAAGTTAATCAATTATTGAATTTAAAGTAGCTCATTGCTTTCAAATCCGATGGAGCTGTGCTCATGATGAGAATTAGAGAAAAATTAATTTCTAATATTGGTGTAATTCGTTCAGAGACTTAAGAATTAAGTAATATTAAGATAGTGAAAGATGCGCTTAAATTTACTGGTCGTGTTGTGAGAGTACCAGGAAATGAATAAAGTGTCCTCATCTGTCTTCTTTAAACTGAATCAGGTTTACATTCTTAAATTTAACATGCTTAATAACAGGGTTATTAATGTGCTTTATTTATCGGGGTTTTCTGAGATTACATAGCAAATACATGCAGACATAGCGTAATAGATTAAAAGATCGTGGGATTATTCTAATATATAAGAGGAATGTATATTGGGGTTTTTTTTTGTTGATATTACAGATCTTTCATTTATAAATTAAACAAAATATTTTCGTTTTTTCTTCCTTTTTATCATTTTGCTATATAACATGTTACTCGTTTATATGTGCTCTATTTATTGGAGAAGCTGTAGAGATGACAGTCATATTAACTGTCAAATAAATTCAATTCTTTTTCCCAGATTGGAAACCACTAATAGACCATCTGAAAGGTCTTAAATTGTTTATTACAAAGATGCTAATACGAAATATATAGTATCTGCAGCATTTTCACATTTCCAGAAATATTTAAAAAGCTATTAAAGGAAGGAAAAATTGTAGCTTGTAATACTTGATATTACGAGGGATTATAGCTAGAATGGGTAATATCACAGCATGTGCTTGTCTCAAATCTAATGATGGGTGACTCTTCTTTACATGGGTGACTCTCTAAGTGAGACTTCTTTGTTAAACTTCAACTAACTAAGAAACCCATGTGAGGATCATCTTGTTGCATCCAGTAGTTGGTAACGAGCATATAGCTGTAATCCAATTCAAGTGATATAGACAGAGAGGGAAAATCAAAAGACATGATGAATTCTAGCATGATGAATTCATCTAGTTAATAGAGTATGAGTACCACGAAAAATAAGGAAGAAGTTTGTGACTGACAAAAGAAACAGAAAAGCAGCAAGACTAAGGTTAGACGGGATAATTTAAAGACTGTGTTCTGAGTTGTAATAATTTCGTCTATGAAGCGCAGTTAGACAACAAAGTGATGGGATTCTTTGAGATAGATGATTTGATTGCTTTAAAGATTGGATTTTTTGAAATTCTTCATATCTAAATAAATCTTAGATGGAATAATATTCAAATAATTATAATAATTTTTAATAGTTAATTAAATTGGAAAGCGAGATGAAGAAAACATAATGAGATGAGATGATGTAGGTGGAAGAAATTATATCTCTCAAATCATTTATTCAATTCAAATACTTTTATGCAACAGATTTTTAAACTCTTCATTGGCTTCATTATTTTTTACGTTAATTAATATTTATTTTTAAACTAATTTTTCTAATCAAATTTTTCTTTAATCTTACGAAATTATAAACTCAAAACTGATGAAAACAAATGTTTTTATACCTTATCAATTAATTCCGATTAATTCAGGCATTGCAATACAAACAAGAAACACAAATAAGTCCACTTGTAATCATTGAACCGAACCCTCTGGGTAGAGTACATTAAAGTATTGGTACCTTTTATACGGATGTGATATGTTATCAGTTGCTGTGCATGGGAGAACCTGACATTTGACCCATAAGTGTAGTAGTTCGTTGGCTATGACAAACTCATGCATGTAGAAACCTCAGACTTTCCAGCGAAATGATAGTACTATCATCATCTTTAGCAGACACTCATACATGCTCAAATAGAAAAATATCGATTATGTCTTATCTGTGCTTGCTTTGAACTTCTACAGTTCTATCTCATCGCAGTAGTCAACAAATATACTTGTATAAATATTTCGGCTTCAGACATCATCCATTCAGTTGTTTATCGATTGGAATACGGAGCAGATACTGAAGTGACTGTGACAATGAAGGCTTTCTATATTTTGGCTATTTTGGCTGTAGTGTCTTCGGTTAGTAAGGCTATTTGGTTATTAAATTGACTTTGGATTGCTAGCCCGCAGTTCGTTTCTTACTCATTTCAGGCCTTTGCTGATTGGAATCCCAAAACTGCAAGTGAAATCAAAGAGATTCGTGTAGAATGCGTGAAGGAGCACCCATTGACTGAGGATGTGATTGCAAAAATGAAACAATTTGATTATCCGGATGTTGAGTCCGTGCGTAAATATCTTTTGTGTACAGCAACTAAAATGGACATTTTCTGCGAACATGAAGGCTATCACCCTGACAGAGTAGCAAAACAATTTAGAATGGATTTGGATGAATCTGAAGCACTTACTATTGTAGAGGGTTGCGTAGATAAGAATGAGCAAGGCAGTCCCGTAGATGTGTGGGCTTTCCGTGGTCATCAATGTATAATGAGAAGCAAAATTGGTGATAAGGTTAAGGCCTATATTAAAAAACGATTGGAAGAAGCTAGTAAATCAAAATAAGTTTTAAAAAAAGTATTAAAAACACAAATCTTGAATAAATATAAATCTTCATCCAAAACAAAAATGAAGCTGCAATCACAATTTTTAATCTTAGCAATATCTGCTTAATGGCACCATTGATTAGGGTGAGATCAGTTAGGGATTTTTTTTAGTAGGTGTGAGAATTAAAGCAACTAAAACCATCTTTTGGAAATAGTATAAAAAGGAATAGAATAGAAGAAAGCACTCGACTACAAAGGTCTATCTTATTTGATATAACTCAAAAATGTTCGGATCTTTTTGAAGGAGCAAAGAACGTTTAAAAGAGGTAAGGAGGTAGGACTGGAGTTATTAGAACATTTGACTCAGGAAATCAAAGTCGGGAAGATATATATCAAATAAATACAAAGACAAAATGAAATAATTAGAAATTGACACACACCAAAGCACAGGATTTTAAAATGATAAAAGGATGTCCATTGTGAAATATTTTATATATTATTCAGCAAATATTTACGTTAAATGCTGTGCTTGAGATTAGCGTTTTTTAAAGATGACATCTAACTTGGAGTAAGGTTATAAAAATGAGACTATGTGCCTTCGCAATATATTGGCATAAAGAAAATATATATTTATTTTGCGTTCAACAAACCTATTTTCATTTGAATTAATTTATACGCTTGTTGAGTAAAACTTTTATTTTTTATGTTCAAAAGGTGAAAAGGTGAATTTCAAGAAACTGCATTTTAATAAAATACAAAGCGGACAAGTAACAAATACAGTTTGGATGAAGTTGGGTATTTGTAAGCTAGTATTTGGAATTCAGAGAGCCCAAAATGTGCTGAATGGACTTCGCTCTTCTGGGTAAAGCGCAATGACTAACAAACCACTACGTTGCAGATTTCGCATGAAAATAATTGGGCAAGCGAAGAAAACAGTTTCACTTATACTGCAACTGCAACAAAAAAGGCTTTTAATGGCACAGTAACTCTACAACAGTACGTCAAGTTGCTATAAACAAAAACCGTATGTTTTTCTTTATCGTAGCAATGACTGTATAAGCAGAGACCGTATCATGAAGGAACTCTAATCAAAGACCGTATTATTAAATACCGTAATATTAATAAGGTCGTATTATTACAAGGCATTGAATTTCGTTCTAGAACTCGATCATTATAGTAAGGTCTTTGGCTTGTGGGCCGCACAAACATCTTTGAGGATCTTTTGGTCAACCAATCGCCAAAAATGCTTCGTAAATTCAATGTTTCCGGTATGTTCTGGTATTGATTTGCTTTCTTGTGTTAATGCAGAACATGTGGACGCATGCATTTCATTATCGTAGTAGCGAATCATGCTTATTAACTTAAAGACCGAATTTAATTTTGTAAATACCCAAAATGTTTTTTAATTAATTTAAAATCATGCATGTAATTTGTTGTTAATGTGATTTGTCCTATTCTATCATAATTTGTAAAATCTTATTTTATTATTGCATTTGGAACGAACCGATTCCAAATTACATGGGGGAACAAAAAGAAATTCACTTAGTCGATAATGCAGAATAAATTTTCGACAAATCGCAAAATGCTAGCTGATTTGATAAAGTGTTAGAATATTACATATGAACTTTCACAGCTGGTACAAAGCCGATAGTAGTTCCACGGTTATCACAGCAAGAAATTCGGTATATCCTTGAGTCTGTGGCAATAACTGTCAAATAAAATATGAAAAACTGCTTCAACACTTGTGATCATTTGGAGTTGATTTCGTAGTATCCAGGCCGGACATGCGTCGACTTAGTGAAGTCCAAAATTAATAAATATTCACAATTGGCTTAGGAAATGTTTACTGATTAGCTAGGCCTACATGTTACGGTTGTAATGCCATAATATCATGCAATCGCCATGGAGATTTTAGCGTGATAGGGTACTCGAAGTTAAATTAAAACTCAAAAATAACTTTGCTCGTTATCTTTAGCTCGATATTTACTTTAAAAATGTTCTAATGAGAGATCCAGAAAATTTATGAAATTATGATAGTTGATGTGGCTTGGTTCCACAAGAACCACCCAGAAACAAAGCAACATTCGCTGATACAGAGCCTTGGAAATGCTAATCCATTTCTGGGTTACCATGTTTCATTTAATCTAACAAAAGTAATGATATCAATTTGGAATAAATGCTAAATGGTACTCGTACCATAAGTTTTACTTTATGTAAGTAGGTACCTGTTTACCTGATTATCTGGTTACCATAAGTTTTCAAACATTTGTTGGGAAATCAGGGAAAAATGCGTTCATATTTCACAATTCACAATAACAAGCCAGCTCACACTACTGAAAAAACGAACAATTTCATTGCGTTTTTATAGATTAAGGAAATTCGTCCGAAACCATATCCATCCCGGAACTCTCCGTGTAAATTGTGATTGTTCTCAGAATTTAATTGGTGCAATTAATCTCATAGTTTCAAATCTGATAATATTAGCAAAAATGTTGAGGGTTGTCCAAAACTGGTGTGCATACCAAAAGACCGGTGCATCCAGAATAAATCATAAAAACTTTAATAAGCCATTTGGTTTGGAGGTTATCAGATCTTCGTACTTTTTTGATATTGACGAAAGTGTGACAAAAACAAGAAGGTGTTATGTACTATATATATACATCTATATAGTCGTATATGCGTATATGTAGTGGCCTATTTATAAAGCTATGCAAATGAAAAAGGAGAGACTAAAAGGAATCATCTCAACAATGATAAAGTCCTTAATACCTTTGTTTAATTATGTTAACGATTTCTTATAATACTTATGTTATAAGAAAATAAGTACTTTTCGATATGATTCTGTGTGTACTCCTGTGATCCACTGTGTAATGCACTCCAAGAAGCTTCCGACGCTTTGTCGTTAGTGAGTCAGGTCGAATGTTCACTTTCGAAAGCGAATAAAATTTATGCAAATGAAAGAACCTATGTGGAATAATTTTATTTCTTGCGGTTATAGAGATTGTAAAATGAAACCGAATGGGTTGGTACAGGTCACCAAAATGCGCGCAACAAAAAATTATGACTGCTGCACATTTTATTGACTGATTGGATCATAAAATATTTCCCTCTATAAAGCATATGTATATGTGTATTAAAGGATTTAAATGCTCCAAGCTTTTCAGGACAAAGATTATCAATTACAGTTCATTGCATTGATATGTGGTGAAACACAAACCTTGTGAAACCTTTGAAGCAAAAGCCAATTCCAGTTTTATGACAGTAAAAAACGTGACGAATTTTATGTGGCAGGGAATCGTAAACATCACAGTCAACCCTTCTCACTCGGTTTTAAGTGGCAAATTTAAAACACCCACAAATGAAGGACATTTTTTCCATTTTAGTTAAATGGTGCTTGTTTTCGGTCCAGGAACCGCAGCGGGAGAACAGCTCAATCTCATATCAAGAAGCGTCAAAACGAATGACGGCTTTGACTTAGCTTGAGAGAAGTAAGTTTGATTCCTTGGCTTATCTACGTTTAAGAGAAGAAACATTAAAATATAGGGTATGGTTTTGAGTGTGGGCGCATCTGCTGAAATTACAAAATATGATTATAAGATATATAAGAATTGAAGAATCCCACCTGCTAAAGAAACTACAATTCGCGGAAATGCAATCGTATTTGTTGATTATATTATAAAGTAAATTCAAAGTATCTGCAACTCTTATTGCCAGTATTCACCTTCATTAATCATAAAAAATCGGCAAGGGCACTTTAATGTCATAAGCTGAAGGAGCCTCATCTACAACTGTTGTTTGCAACAGAACATAGTATTTATACCGCATAGATATGTTGATATAAACTAGTTAAATATTGACCACTTCGAGTGCAGACATATTGTTTATGTTTATTATATTCATTTCAATGAACGAACACCCAATAATAGATTATATACCGACCTACTCTTATTCAAATGAAGGGTTATTTCATTATTGGTTGAATATTATTTTTAAAGCATTGTAATCAGTGTCTTTCAAGTAATCAAAATATGATTTGTTTATTTTTTTAACTTCCAGGTTTTAGTGGTTCAGCCACATGGAACATCATTTTTAACTGCTACTACTTACAAACTAATTTTGTTCTGCGCTAGCATATGTTGTTTACAGTACAGTCCTAACCATATTAGGTGACGCGACCGATAGCAGACTTTTTAAAAAACGATTTATGACGATACTAACAAGCCATTTAATAAGTAGGTAAGAAAGTAGGGGTACGTTCGGGGAAAAAAAGTTCGAATCCTTCTCAATTAGGTTAGAAAGCTGCTGGTTAGATCTGGATAAGCTTAGACACAGACACAAGAGGTCAAATTTAAATACTATTAACAACAGTTTTAAAATATCACTCAAGAATTGATCTTTTTTAGGTATCTCCGATTTGCTTCTGTGGTTTAAGTCAAAGGTAGCGTATTTAGGGTATGTATACTATGTCGCTCTTCGTGATGCTTTTGTAAAAATAATAGCTCAATTTCTGTTGACCTGTCAAAAAAAGGAATCGTATGTCAGGAGTAGGAGTTGTTATTGATATAGGAAGTTCTATTAAAGAGGCCTTAAGTCTCGCTAGCTCGTCAATCTGCTCTTACCCACCGTATTTATGCGCCTAGAGACACAAATTAGGGTTATCTTAGAACTAGCGCCTAATAAGTTGATAAATTGGCTACATTCGTAAACTATCTTTTACGACCAGACTGCTGAAATAGTCTTGTTGTTTACTATACTCTCAGACTTTATTTTGCTGGAAGTCTATATTCACTGCGAGGGAACGGGTTCTTAGAATAGCGAAAATTTTTGCCTGAAATATTGAAGTAGAATTGTAAAGCTGATCAGATTTACTGATCCCGTTCTCGTGCCTATATCCATCTTTAAATTGATATGTAGCAGATATCTTTTATCTATCAAACCTCTATCCATACTCTTATCAAAACTGAAGCTCTTAATAGAAATATAGATGGAATCAGTAAAAAGTCTAAATAGATTATTGTAATTTTTCAGTTTTATTACCAGGCAACTTGTTTGGACTATCTTAAACGTGAATAGACACGTTTTTGCTA